ACACCAGGAGAGAATGAAGCGCTCCTCCTTTGAGAGGCTGGTGAGGGGCCGCCCTTCGAAGGGGCCCTAAACAACACCTGGAAATGTAAAGAAAGAGCGCATTATTCTCTCTTGGTGTTTAAATTCGAGTCTCTTCAGCGCGTTTCACGACGCTAAGAGGGTGATTAATCTCACGTCATAAAACACAACCTCTAGGTTGGTTCACATAGGAGAGATATCAATTGTTACCTCCTATGCTTTGCCCCGCAGTCGCACTACCATTCTGCTTAGTCTCGCTTGATTGTCGTGCTCGGTCACCTGATTTCTCTTCGTTTAATGTTTCTTTTTTGCGACTGCGCAAGCTGAGATCACAGCGTGTAGTCGAAAAGCGGTAAATCTTGACAGGGTCAACACTTTATGCTAACATTGTTTACTTTTTTTAGAAGAAATATGTGGTGAGGAGGCTCTCTCGTCTTTGGACGGAGTGGTTCGAGGTTTCTTAAGAGAAAACTATAGTTGGTCAGAACTGATCGAGAGTACCCCCTTACGACGTGTCTCACGATCAACTCGCAGTCGTATTATCTTGTAGCCCCTTTTGAATTGCTAGGTGACTCCCGCGGTTAGCCGGTCATGCTGGCTCCAGCAATATTTCATGCTGCCCGGTGTACTGGAATGTACCACTCCCACATGGGCTGGCCTAAGTTTCTATGCCGCCCACTACTGTTTGTATTGAAGTGTACGTTGGGAATTCGTTGAACTAATTCAGATACGTTACAAGCCTCCCGCACACTTACGCGTGCTGAAAAAGGCAGCATTTTAAATGAAGCAGCTTGAACCAGTGTAAGCACGGCAGGCTTTGCCGGAGAAAAGTCCCTTTAACTCAACCGACCTGGTAAATTTGTGGGTCGCTTACAGGAGCATCTTACAGTGCACAAGTTTTCCGTCGGTCGCGTCACCCGCACCGACGCCCTTCGCCCCGAGGAACCGAATCAGCAGCGAAGGCAGGGAACACGATAAGCCCTGGTCTGGTGCGCGCCCGTGTTCCGGATGATGAAACACCAGCGGCGCCATCGGCGGCGACCCGTGTGCGTCGTTTCCACGGCCGAGACGCCCGGCTGGGCCCACGTGCTCCGGGGTGCGCCACATCGGGAACACGTCTGTTCGCTTTTTAGCGCCGCAGCCGGCTACGTGTCTTCGGCCGCTTATGCGATCGTACTGCGGTCACGTCGGTGGAAGGCCGATCGTTTGCGCCGCTCAGTCGGCCGCACGCCGCCGCTACCACGTGGCGCAGACGTTGGCATTGGACCAAACCAGCCAACCCTCTCCGACGCCGGCGTATATGGACTACGCACCGGATCGGGGCCAGTAACTGAAACTCAAGCAGCCGAACCCGAGGCCCATCGGGAACGGGGGGGGGGGGGGGGTTCAACACCGCAATGAACAGTCTCGTCATTCCCAATGCAGAAAGTAGCAAATAAAATGGGAGAAAAAAAAAGTGAAGCACCCTTTTTTAGTTTTCTTTTTTCAGGAGTTTTTTTTTTCTTTTTTTTATCGCCTCACTCAACTTTTTTTCAAGACCCCTTCAACGCGCTCCCACACCTACACGCCACATTTAGACCACACACGCTTTTTTTTTCCTTTCTGATTTTGCTGACAAGCGAAACAAACGGTATCCCGCAATGCCTCGACATAAATTTAATGCGCAGGAAGGAGAAAGAACCGTCATTTAATTTAACGATTGTTTTCGAAACAGCGAAGCAAGCGCAGCATTCCTCACTTTCCGTCGCACTGCGGTAATTGAGGGGCCGCGAGCGCAGCTCGTAAGTGCCCCTGAACTCATTATTTCCAACAAAAAAAAAAAATCTGAAACCATCTTTACATTCCCCATAACGGTTGAACAAAATACCAAGGAAAACTCAGGTAGAAGTATTCGCTGCAGAGTCCAGCGCTGCCTGTCCACACGTGCCATTTCATACACTCGAAGAGCAAATGTTCTGAGGTAAAGCCATTGCATAACTCAAGAAGCGGCAACATTGGTGTGTTTACTTCAGTATTTAAAAAAAAATAAAAAGTTACCACAAATTTTCAGAACAGGTAGCGGCACTAGCGGAGCAAATAACAATTATTGTTGGGTATATTTTTGTTGGTACTTAATGCGAACCGGTTAGGTGTTGTACGAAAACTGTGTAGCCGGTTTTCATAAGTATTCGGAATTTTCACACGCATGTTGGGCCGCCTAAATCAAAATCAAGTTGAAAACTGAAGCCACACTTGGAAATGCGAGAAGGCATTCCAGCTACTTTAGCCTTTCTCACGTTTGCCCTTTCGACATTACAGTCACTGTCAAAAATTCACGTATGGCGATGGCTCTGGGATACGCTCTTTCCGATATTCCAAGAAAGCTGCCTATTGTAGCCGAGTTTCTAGTCTGCATGTACTGAAGCATGCGTAAAATACACGATGCTGCACTGTTTAACTAACTGCCTAAGGTTCTAACCTGCTCAATAATTCAAGCTTTTCTCTAATTCCCCCATTTTCAAGCCTTTGACGCCGACAATATGCTCGTGTACGTGAGCATCGCATGTTCGTCTGCAAGTGTGCCTACAGGACAATTTCAGTACATTAGAGGTGCCAGGTTTTCGGCACGATTTGGCCACCACCCGTGTGCATGTCCGCGAAGCACGTACACTCCTAATTGCAGGATGAACTTGCGCCAACAGAAGCGCACTCGTCGGGATCATCAAGAAGGGACCACTCGATGTCGTGACTGATATAAACTTCGCCACCACGTTTCCGATGCGTCATGAACTACCAAGATTGCGCCGTTAATAAGGCCAATCTGCGCGACAGCAGCTGTCTGTGTGACACTGAGGGCGACCATGCACATTGGAGTTAGGCACAGTTTTACAGATCTAATTGATTCTGAAAACGTGACTCAATGACAGCCAGATTTGAGGCTAGTACCAGCTGTTATCGCGTCCACGTGCATGTGTAAGAAGTTACGTTATGAACTGAAATTACATCCGTAAAAAGCTGTACAAATCGCAAAAGTAAAGAGAATCAGTTTATGAGAACACGTATTTTATATTTCATTTATTTCTTCGAAATTGTAGCGCCAGTGAAGCACTTTGCAAATGTGCAGGAAAGAGATAGGAATGTGAGTCTAATTACTTTATTTGCCGCAGTTGCTCGATGCTCTACTTTAAATGAACAGCATAATATTAGCTTTTGCTGCCCGGCATCTACAAAATACGGCAACTTCAACCAAAAATCAACAATCATAATATCGTATTCTGCAACACAGTGCCGTACCTACTCTATACAGTGGAGGCAGGTTAACACGTATTTTACAGGTGCCACTTTGAATCACCCTAGTTGGAAAGCCATAAACAAAGTTTATTGTAATTAAACTAAATTTTATTGTAGTTGACATGCCATCGAAGCCTAGAATTATGCATTAAAAGATTCCTCGAACAAGCTTGCACAAGATCGAGTATAGGAAGCACACAATGCGAAAAGATGTTTTTCTGAATGTTAACCCATGTCTTAATTGTAATCCAATTACAGAGCTGCCGAAAATCGTAAGAAACGAGTTAAAACAGAAGGTTTTTATCTATTCACCATTCGTGTGTGCAGGCTTTGCATATATGCCGACGACATCAGCCATACGTGCGTACTGGGCGAAAAGTTTTGCGTGAGATAAAGCTCTAGATATCCAAGTTGCGGTAATTCTTCGCAAGACTAATGCTCTCCGAGTTTTCTAGCATGCAGATAAATCCCTCTGGGCACTCTTTTTTTTTTCTTTTGCGAGTGCTTTCGCTGCAATGAAACTTTAAATACACAACTGCGCGGAAGTGGGCGAGCATGGCACGGAAGCGAGAACTTACGAATTCAAGAGGACACGAGTACGACCGTTGCAAGGATAAATGCTGGAATTAAGCAAAAGCCCCGTTTTTTTTTTTTCTCCGGGGAAATTGTATTTTTGTTGTTGCTGTTGTTTTAGTGAACCCTGATTTGTCGGTACGCTAAACAGCCGGTACAGGCTTCGAACGTGTTAGTCTCTTTTGAAGAGCATAGATGGAGAACATGTATAATAGATGGGGCCTCCTGCAACCTGTTCTACTGATCTTTGTGCTTGACAAATATCCACGCACCAATGGCCTCAACGCAAAACACTGACTTATTCAGCTGCAAGCATCTCAACAGAGAGCAAAGCTTTTACGGAGGGTCAGCAAGCTGCATCCCCTAAGTGTATGGCTATAAATTAACGAACAGAAGCATGTAGCAGCTTCACTAAAAAGCTGTGTATTGTCCGGGTAGAGCTGGTATTTGCTTAAGCGATTGGTTGTAGAAACACGCATAAATAATTTAAATCTCTGATCGATTGGCTTAAGTATGAAAGCACTGGCTCTTCTTACACGGCTGGCCTATGACAGGCGAAGCGGAACAGCACTGCCATTGAAAGCAATGGGTGAAACCCTGGTACACTTTGCGGCGTAGCCATGGCTCCAACGGTAAGACAAGTGCGTGAGGTGCTCTTGCCTTTCAAGAATGTGATCGAATATATGGCGAATGCGTTTGAAGATAAATATGAAAAGTGGGGAGCAGCACGATATATTATGGCGTATTTTCGGCATGGCCTCCCTCCGTGCCCGAGTTGTCACTAGTCCGACGATTACGCTGTGCCGTATAATATTGCAGCGGCTTTTCTCACCAAGCTGCTCCTCTTTATGCAAAGTGACATGACATTGTGGGGCGTTAAGCGTACACTATATTGGTCCAGCCTTCGAGATCAAAGTGAAGTTTTAAGCTTTTGTTAAATCAAGTCAGCTTTATGCGGTATTCGGTCCACTTCCTGCTCGGACCATATGAGCGAAGCAATGTATTCCTAACACACGACGCAAAGAACAACGTATTGTAGGGGTTTGCAGCAGGCGCAGCGTGACCGCAGAATCGGAATTCACACGAATGCTTGAAGGCGTTCATTGTGCGTGCCAAACAGACATTCACAAGGTACGTACCTTTGTCAAGCAGAGCTTCCGCCGGTGGTAGAGTGCAGGCGTTCAGACGGAAAGGCCTACTACGTCCCTTGGAGTTGGCAGCGAAAACGCGAGCCTCAAATTCTGTGCCTGGCCACAGCTGGCCGACGCGAAAGCGTGGCTCTGGACCACTCACGTTCCGAACCAGTACCTGCAGCGACCACAGCGCGGATCACATTCCAGTGTACCTAAACAGTAGCAACAACTGAATATATTAAAACCTTCGTATTCAAAACAGCATTGGCATCGAGGTGCGCCACAAAAAGTTCAACAACTTTGCTTTGAATACAAGTCCTACAGGAAGTTACTGGCAGAAGAACGGAGTTATTCTCATGAAATAATTTACGCGAAGTGAACAGCCATTTTTCATTCAACACAATATTCGTTGCCGTGAATGCAGGTAATCACGTGGTGTACATAAATTCGTAAAATAAGCGATTAACATATATTCACTTAATGAAAAATTGAAGAGCATTCTCCAGTGGTTCAAAGTCAAATCCGGGCATAGATTCGTAGAACTACTGAAAGGAACACCAGTTTTGATATTACTTGTACTGCAAGAAGCCGTGTAACGTGTTGACGGTCTAGTTGTCATGCTGCTGAATGCCTTCTTAACCCACTACGAGACGAAAGATGGCCTATTTGGTGTTTCGCAACAGCAGCCACAGTGGCCTATTCAATGCTATAAAATTGACATACTGTTGCTTGGTGCGTGCCGCACTACTAAATGAAAGCACACTTAGCAATTGTCAGTTTTATACTTGCGCTCTTACAACATACACACTAAAGGTTTGTTTTTTTTTCTAAACAAAGGTTCGGTGATTTGGCTACATTAGATTGTATTAGGTGTTATATTTATGGCGATTGCCAGAACTAGTGAGCTGGCTACCATAACAGTAACTTAGGTGATCAGAAGAATTTTTGAATAAAAGCTGTTTAGTTCATTAGAACTTCGTGCTTTACGCCAACACTCCCTTAGCATGTCCTCAGTTAGCTACTCACCCAAGGCTAGTTTTCGCACATAACTTACGAACCTAGGCTTCATTTAGTAATGCCCCTAGTTGTCTACTGCACTTACAGCAGCCTACAGAGAAGCCCTTAATGTCTACGTTGTAAAAGTTAGCCTCAAATGCAGAGTTTACACTTAGTCACATATTTTACATAACAACCCACCAGTGGAGGCTGCCATTATCTCCACAATTTATTGGGTGAAACGTGCGCGCACCCCAGTTAACATCGCGAGACATTTCGTTTATTCTGCGCACCTCATACTGCCTGTTATGGCGTAACCACCTTGAAAGAGAGGAAAATTACAGAAGCGGGCTTTACCTACAATGTTTCCATATTGCGGTGAAGCCAGAAATAAGAAGCATTTCATAGTAGGCTGTGTTTTGAGCGTGTACAGGCATTTGGATGCAGTATACTAATGCACCTGAGCGTTAGCATGGTGCATTTGGCTTAAGCATCATACACGCCGACTGTGCCTTGCAGAAGCTGTGGCCTCTAAGGTGCCCTAATTTTCATATCGCACTTGCTTATTATATGCTTATCCAAAAGAAAAGCACGAAGCAGAACATGAAAGCTTTGTATGAGAAATTTGGAAACCTGGTTTGTGTGCTCAAGCCAAAGTTTTGACAAGTGAACTTGTTTTTAGCATATTTTTTTGCCTTGAAAAAGATAGGTAGCCTCGATAAAGACAAGTCCACTAGTGCAAACATCGGTTATTGTAGGAACATAATTGAGTGCAGGTACCTGATGCTGAGATGCAGAGACGCCCCTCTGGGTCGATGAGCCTTCAGGTGGTCCGTAGACTTCTAGCACGTAGACCAGGTTCTCGGCGGGACGGGCCAGGAGAGAGGGCCTCTGAACGGCGGCCACCAGCGAGGCACCACCGCTGCTTCCCTCAGCAGGCTCCGGTGGTTGGTCATCGACCACCGGAGTCGACGAAGAACGCACCTCACGACACTCAACCGAAAAACTGCGCTCAGTCAAGTTGGTAATGCTGCAGTTCTGCAGGGGTTCGGGAGGCCCTGCACATTGTACAAGCACAATTGATGTCACAGTATAGTTATTGCGGAGTATGCAGAGCCACATTGGCGTACCTATCGACTCTGTTAGTACCAGAGTTGGATGTAATGTGAGTGGCGCATGACAGAGAAATCTGAATCAGTCGTGTAACTATACATGGTTGCATTGTTGAGCAAGAACCATGCACGGTACAGCTTTTAATCTGCTTGGTGATTAAAGAAAACGGCTTCCTTAGTATAACAGCTACGAGTATGGGCAGTTAATTTGTAATTCACTACCATATTTCAATGTACAATATTGTTTCATATTAAAAATAGCGGTTTTTATGAACCAGGACTTTTCTTGGAACAAGTGAAGCCTGCTTTTCAATGCAACATATTATCTACTAGCTCACTGTGAAAAAACAAGAGCACAGGTAGCACAGCCACGTCAATAAGTGAAATATACAACCATAGGCTCACGTTCTTTTTCTCAGTCGTATTAGTATACCGAGATGAAGCTTAAAAATCGCAATTTTCTTCTTTATGTAAATAAAAACGTCCAAGAACAACGCTATTTCCGCATCGAAAAAAGCAGTATCACGGCAGCCCTTCCAACCTTGCGCGCCACTTGTAAAGCGCATGTATAGTAGCTCCATCCAATTGCAATTTTTAGAAATAATATATATATATATATATATATATATATATATATATATATATATATATGCATCGTCCGTGTTTCTACACAAAACAACTGGCGCTGCATTATGTAATTGAATCGGAATTTCCGTATTCAAGTTGTATTTTCGTTTTTCTTCTCCGACTAAAAAACTATACAAAAATAAATAATACGCTATAATTTTTTCGACTTTGAAGAATCAAAACCCCATTTCTAGCAAAGCTGACTTAATCGTATACGTTTCTGCAGCCATTGACGTGTTTCCGCATCCCCTGAAAACTTTTCGCAAACCTCGCAAGCGGGGGCAAAGATGGATTCCTTTCAAGAGGGATTATATCACGCGGACCATGAAAGCGTCTAGGGCATTGAAAAACTTTCAGACAGATGGGTTTGAAGCATAGGTAAAAGACAAGTCCACATCCATAAGTGCTAAACGCGACCGATTTCTATGCTACAGCACATGGAGTCAATTTATGCGTCGCGAAGAAACAATTGTGGAGTGTACATCACTTTATGGTGGTGGAGTTTGCAAATTATTAGATATTTGCGTCATTTGTGAAAGCAGGCGAAATTTCAAAGAGCGTTCGGTTCATCTTGAGGTAGCAACGCCTTGGGAGAGTGAACGTCATGCGCGCATGTTTAACACAAATTGAACATTACATGACACATTGTAGAGTACACCATATGGAGGGGGGAGAAACGTCACTTGCAGACGCTTGCCAAGATAAAGAAAAAGGACGGAGAAATGGGGAAAGAGATGGAAGACATGCGTTTAATCAGATGCGCGACCGATATGGCGTACCCTGCACTGGAGGAAGGGATAAATGGGGGGGAAGATATAGAAGAGAGGAGGAAAGATACATGTAATCACGAGCACACTTGGGGGAACTGACACTGCTGTCACATAGGAAAAAAAGTGTTTCTGTTATAGCGTGCCTCTTTTTACACTGACTCGCGCCTCCTGGCATACACAGGAGCAGGAGAGTTAGCTTTATCCCAAGACCTCTAATGATGAATTGTTCTGAATTATTGAAATAAAACGCTCTTTAAACAGATAGTATATAAGAACGAATTGTAACGGTGTACACTATCGGGTTTGCTGAAGGGCCTCTTGCAAACCATGCGTTCTTCTGCAGCAAAAATGCCGGAAGGTTGACAATTTCACACCAAGCTTCTTATGGAACCATATGCGGTTATTCTATTTCTATGCTCTAAAAACTGATCATGGTGCTGATGACGATAATTAGGAGAAGTAGAATATATAGGATAACATTTATCGACAGGGTACGAGCGGCAAATCATAATTTCAGGGGTCCAACGTGCCAAAACCACGATACAATTATGAAGCACGTCATAGCGCCGGGCTCGGGAAATATCGACCACCTGGTGTTCTTTAACAGGCACTCACACTTACGTACGCGGGCCTCTATAGCATGTCGCCTCCATCTAAATGCCACTGCCGTGACTGAGATCGAACTCGTGTCTTTTAGGACAGCCAGCCAAGCACAATAATGGCTGCACCACTGCGGCGGTGCAAATGTAAAAGGGTATCCAATAGTACGCAATTCTTATGACGTCTTCGGTGAACGCCTGTGATCGTAGGATGAGTGCCGGACCGACTTCGGAGAAGCCGCTGCCAAGGACACCTCGCCATTGCATGCTCTGACTTGCAAATTTTCTAGACGAGCGTGACATGGCCGAGCCGCAGCGAATTACACTGCCAGCAGCTTATCTGCTTCATTTTTGCGCGTGGTGTGAACGGGCGGCACTGATCTACGGAATTCTGGTCCACGGTATTCAGGCCCAGCTTTACGTACATATACGATACCCCCTTCAGAATCTCAAAATATTATTGCGTTATTCGCAGCATTACAAACAAGTCTCGTACGCATTTTGTACGGACGTACTTCAGCCCACATCCACTGACGGCCTCGTGCGCTGCTGTTTTTAATTGGAAATGCAGCGCTACTGCAATGACTGGTGGCAGCTGCAGCCAAGAAGTCTCGGTTCCCTCCTCATAGCCGCCCCAGAGGTTTACGATGACATCTATATACTATTTTTCGTAAGACATCTGGGCACCGCCATCTTGGGCTGTTAAACTGATATTTTCTTGTTTTCGTATATCGCGACATGAATGAGAGCAGGAAACACGATATGCGTCAACAAGACCGTTTTCTTGCGTACGCCTGTACCGTAACACTGTTCGTTTAGTTGTTAAACATACAAAACATAAAGGTTAACAATAAAAAAGTATGGCGGCGCTCAACCCCATCTGTAAAATAACCCATTGAAACACGAACGTGTGTACTCGGCCAAAAACATTTACTCGGCTGCGGCGGCTGCATTTTTGATGGAGGCGAAAAAGCTGTGGACCCGTTGATTTGATTTGATTGATTGATATGTGGGGTTTAACGTCCCAAAACCACTATATGATTATGAGAGACGCCGTAGTGGAGGGCTCCGGAAATTTAGACCACCTGGGGTTCTTTAACGTGCACCCAAATCTGAGCACACGGGCCTACAACATTTCCGCCTCCATCGGAAATGCAGCCGCCGCAGCCGGGATTCGAACCCGCGCCCTGCGGGTCAGCAGCCGAGTACCATAGCCACTAGACCACCGCGGCGGGGCCGCTGCTGTGGACCCGTGGGCTCAGATTTGGGCGAACGTTAAAGAACCCTAGGTCGTCGAAATTTCCGGAGCCCTCCACTAAGGCGTCTCTCATAATCATATAGTGGTTTTGAGATGTTAAACCCTACATATCAACCTATTAAAAACGTTTACTAGTACAAAGAGTTTGTACCGACACACTACGCATAAAATCGGCGCAGCCTCCACCTCGTATTTTAGCCCGGCGTTTGTACGACTACACGCTGCTATATGTTTTCGATAAGTGACAGCGCCAACGCAGCGTCACTGGAGGATCCCGTCCCCGGTGGTGGCCCCAAAACCACGCTGTCAAGCTCGCAAGAGAACACAAAGTCAATCTAAATGGTTCGTGAAAGTCGAAACAGAAAGTGGTCGGAAACCTATTGCGACCAACATCAACAACCGTGTGACGATTGAAGCGCGACTAGGTGAGGAGGGGACAAGCAACCAAAACTAAACAACTAAATACGCTTTTTTTTTCTCCAAATAGTCGTAATTTTATATATGACAAAGTTAACTAGAAACTTACTGTACCGCGTGTCTGAGATCTGGCTAAATGGTTGATTGCCTCAATTTTTCGTCGAGTGCGATAAGTTTGTGTGTGTGTGTGGGGGGGGGGGGGTATCCAGGCAATCTACTATCGGAGCTTGAGCTTAGTTCGGCGTGTTCTTTGGTTCGGCGCAATGCCAGGTCAACGAGGCATCGCTCACTTTTTCGTTGTGGTTTCGAGCGCACCTTCAGTGGTTTACTTATTTTTGTGGCTGTTTACTGGTATGACATTTATTAGCTCAACTAGCTGAGAGAATGTGTATATAGCCGTTCCTGTGACTGCCGATTACTTTCGCTGGCGCACCGCCGGCGTGCCCTCGCCTTTAGTGACGGTGAACGCGACACGTTAAGCAGAGAGACGCTGTACTCTACGGCTACCGAAGCTACATTTTCAAAGCTGCTGTCTCACTACAGTGGTTTTTGATGATTGGGCAACGTGAGTTTTGGAACTATTATGCTATTGTGTTCGTGAATAGTTCTCTCACAATTACCTCTGCAATGTTTATCGTGCGAATTTAAGTACGTATTTGGTTAATAAAACAACTTCGCTTCCTCAATCTTAGTTTTTTTGTTTCTTTTCTCTCCCGCATGCAATTGGCGAGGCACAAGGCGCAATAAAATTGCGTATTAATAACGGCAAGTAAACGGACAGAAATTAAGAAAAATTTCAATTTCTTGGCAAGTGGGGCGAATGCGCGACGTCGCTACCGCTTCCGGTTGCGACGTCATCTTTTATTTACTTTTTGTTTGCTGTTAGTTTTCTCTTTCTCACGTAGATGGCGACGGTGGCAACGAACCACCGACTACTTGATCCATGGGATTATATGGAAGTTACTCTTTCAGTAAACACATACCTCGAGATCACTTGCTGTGCTAGCCAGGTGAGCGTATCGTCAGAATGCTCGACCATTGCTTCTGCTATCCGAACGAACCATTGTTATGTTTTCCTGTTGGGATTCATCCTTCCGTCGACAAGGCATCCCACAAGTTTTATGTAAGGATGCAGTAGCTGCAAGGCCACAGTCAGGAAGCGGTCGTATACGTAGATTTTGCGCATTTTGTTGGGTTGATTTCATATATTATCTACGATGAAAAACAAAAACACCTCATGCAGCACCCTTCTTTTATCCTTTTTGTATTGTGTTT